AGATCTTGGTCTCATTTAAAAACGCCCTGACAGAAATGCTGAGTCTCACGTCTGGGTATTTTCCAACCCAGTCAAGCTGATGCTTCAATTTAACCATCATAAGTGTCACTTCCCATAGCTGTGCGGTTTCATCTTAGCTAACCTGTGTGTGGTCTGTTACTGGCCTCTGCATTCTGTCCTATTGGTTTAGCCTGTGCCAATAGTATATAAGAGACATTTCTGATATAATAAAGTTGATTCACAGCAAGCCCACAGCCAACATCAACTTAAACAGAGAGGAACTCAAAGAATTTCCACTAAAATCACGAACAAGACAAGGATGTCCACTCTCTCCAAACATATTCACAATAGTACTTGAAGTGAAAACCCTGCTACAAACCCTTTCATCTACAGTGGTGACCTGCCTGCATGACCATAGTGTCATAGACCTTATGGGTGTAACTAACTGCTTGGATTTAAGGACCACTCCATGAGATGAACTGTATGTCCAACACTGTTTGAGTGGCCAAGAATCTAAGGCTAGATAGGTTATGAATCTAGGGAAAAACCAAATACTATTGTTCTGCTAAAGGAACTTAGCAATAAAATGACATCTAATGACATTCTGCTATACCCCTAGATCAGTGTCTTGCTCAGCCATCATCAGAGAAGCTTCCTCCTGCGCTAGATAGGAACAAAGAGGGGCCTTCAACTGGACAATGTGCAGCGAGTAATAGACCTTTGAACACCCAGTGCTAAATAAGATGTCTTCATCAAATCTCTCCCTTTGGGGTTCAGGGAATTATAGGAGGAAGTAGGAAAAGAGTAAAAGCCAAAGGAGATAGATGGTAACAAGGAATCGGTGTTTTCCAGACCCAACAGGACAGATGCACATATGAACTCACAGGAACTGTGGCAGCATCCATAAGACCTGCACAGGTTCAAACCAGAGTCCCAGTGCCCAGACGGGGAAGTGTGTGCATTTCTCACACTCCTTCTTAGATCCTTTGTTTCTTGCCCTTCTTTGTTTGTCTCTTTTACTTGCCTGTTTGTTTTCTTAAGAGAGATAGAAGGCATGGAGTTAAGAGGTGGAGTTAGGATCTAGGAGGAGATGAGGGAAGCTGTGATCAGATTATATTGTATGAAAATAATTTTACTCTCAATAAAAGAATAAAATTTTAAAAAAGAAAAGAAACCCCTTTGCTGGTGCTACCATGGCAATGGTGGAAGAAGCAGTTGTTCGTTGAACTGTGGAAACACCACTGAGGGACACTGCCTTCTCTAGAATCTTCTACACTCCCAGCTGATGATGTCCAGGGGCACAGAGGGTCAGACAGATGAGAGGATGAGGGAGGAGCTCTGTAGGGATGATCCTTGTATTGTCAGCCAACTAAATAAAATGGGGATGTAAGCAGACATAGGGGTGTGGGCTGAGCAACAGACACGCCTGTAGTGAAAAGTCAAGAGAGACACTTTATAAGTAGACCACAACTACCTAATCCAGTCACAAAAGCAGATCAGAAGGAGGCAAAGGGGCCTGGATGCGTTGAAAGATCGTCACCATCATTATCATTTATTAAAAGCTCTGGATAGTTGTTTTGTTTTGTTTTGTTTTGTTTTGTTTTGTTTTGTTTTGTTTTGTGGTACCAACAATGTACTAGGAAGTCATGTTAATCCTCTCCTAAACACTGTCTCTATTCATCAGAACACTTCAGTAAGGTAGATATTATTTGGTTCATTTCACAGGTATGAAAAACAAGATTAAGGAAAGATAATATCCTTACCCGGGCTTACCCAGTCATGAGCAGGCGAAGTGTGAGTAGAGCGGAACACTGTGGTTTCAAATTCACCTTTGCTGTGGACTCTGTGACCCTCGATAACCTTGAGTCCATATTTATAATACCATACCTTGGCTTGTTTTGTGGATTAAGTGAGTCCATGCTTGGCAACTCTTTAGAACACAAAAATCAGCTTGTCTTCATTTCTCTTTGTGTACAAAAGTGTTTAGGTGAAAGCAACTCTGTGTGTTATTTTTTAGTATTAGCAAGAAGAGGAATCTCTTGCCGCCATGTTTAATGATTTTTATAGTTCAGGCATTATAATTATCTTAAAGGTTTCTCTCAGAGGGATCTCCTTCAGCTTGATAACAGCCAAAGAAGTTAGTAGTCAGCCCCTACCCCCATCCTTCAACCTCAACAAGGGAATTCGTAAGTTGCTTATTTTCCAAAACACCTTACACCTCATCTTCACACATCTGCCTATCCCTGATGTCTCTAGCCCAGCCAGCATCACCTCTCTCGTCTGCAGCCAGCCACAGATCCATGTAGGTCCAACTACATGAGGACCTCTCTCTCCAGCTCTTTGTCTGGAGAGTAAACTTAGATTTAAACACTTCCATTACATGTCATGGCTTCTAAGACAGAAGCAAACAATTTAGTCTGCTCTCTGATGTCTGCGCAGTGTGACCTTTGCCTTTCTCTCCATTTCCTCTGCCCCATTCTCCCAATCCTCCAAGCAACCCAAATTTGGTCCCCAAATTCACCAGCTTTCTTGTCTGATCCTCTGAATAGGCTGTTTCCTGGTAAAGAGTAATCATTTATATCAGTTAAAATAATGATTTCCATAGGGACAATATAAAAAGTATCAAGATTGCTTTTCAATTATGTATGAAGTAAATAATAAGCTGGGACAATTAGTTAAGAGGAGAATTCAGACCCAGCTTTATACATAGGAAACCCACAGGGACCCACTAAACATTACTATTACTAATACATGGATTCAGCGAGGTTACAGGGTTCGAGATCGAGCTACAGATATTTGCAAAAACCGTGTTTCTATATAATGCCAATGGACACTCCAACACGAAACTGAGTTTCACTTATAATAACATCGAAAAGAATAAAATATATATGCAACACTTTAAGAAAAGAAATGCAGGAGGGAGGGTGAGAGAGGGCGATGGCGATGTGGCTGGAAAGCAGAAGTGAAAGGGTCTTGGGTGGAAGAGAAACAGCCAGAGGGGAAGCGGGGGACACAGGAGAAGATAGTGGGAGAAGGGAGTGACCGAAACAGATCACAATGATACAAATGTGTGAAGATGCGGCATGAAGCTCATTGCTGTATATGCTGGTTCTAAAACTAATTTTAAAATAAAGTACAAGATTTGTATACTGAAAACTAAAAAACAAATTTTGGAAAAAAATGAAAGAAAAGCTAAGTAAATATAAATAAGCAAATATAAATAAGTAAATATATTGGACTTGAAGACAACATTACTAAAATAGTGGTCTTCTAATCGTGCTACAAAAGCAGCACAATTAGCAAATCCCAGCTGTCTTTTTTTCAGAAATTTGACAGACTCAGCATAAAATTTGTGGGGTGCCAGACTGACCCAAGACTTTTTCTAAGAACAAAGGTCCTTGCCCAGGAACAGACTTGGTGGCAAGGCTGGTTTGACACTAGAGCCAGTACCTCTGAGGAATTAGTTACAGTTTCTGGGGACCAGGCTTCCCCCCAGCCCTGGCTGTGGTTAGCAGTCTTAGCAGCTGTTTCTGTGGTACCTCTTGCTGTCTTCACTAATGTGGTCTGACTTAACTTTTGCCCTCCTTCCCCACACACACACTCCACACCCATAAACGGTATAGAAGATGCTGAACTTCCTAATAAACTTGCTTAGCCCAAGTCATCATCTTATGCAAGACCTACTAGTCCCAGCTATTGCTTTTGCATTTTTTATTTCTCATTTGTTCTATTTCTCAATCCCTGGCCCTCCCACTCAACACCTTCAGTGCCATTTGGGACCCTTATTCTTGCTGGTTCAGAAAAAAATCCACACAGAAACAGAGGCAACCAAAAACAAAAACAATGAAGTACCATGGAAAAGAAGAACAAAGCCAGAACACTCACCCTTCCTGATTTTGCAACTTACCACAAAGCTACATACGGTAATCAAGATGGTGTGGTGGAGACATAAGGACCAAGATTTTAATCAATGGAACAGATTAAGAAGAGCCTGGAAACCCTTACATTTATAGCACATATTCTTCTCTTTTTAAAACACATATTCATATTTTAAACAAGTATACAAGCCAACCAGAGGTGTGGAGGAAGGAGGAGAGTCCTTTGAGCAATTGTTGCTGGAACATTTGGATATTTATATGCAAAATAAATAACTCAATGGAGAATCCAAACATATGGCTTTTCTATTAATCAGGAAAGCTGAAATACATTTGCACACAGATGCAGAGCTGTTCCCTCCAGACAAAACTTACTGGCCTTTCTACCTCACTGTGAGTTTCCACAATTCACAGGTTACTAAAAGAATTTAAGACAATGGAAGAGGTGAGTCTTCATAGAACAAGAAAAGCCAAAGAGAAATCAGAGGGCAGTCATTGATCTTTTGTTGGAAAGGTGGAGCTCACTTCAAAGTCTTTCACTGTTTTTCCCAAATCTCTGTTTGGAGGGCTGTCCCCTACTCTGTCCCTAGCTTATTTGCACTCTTTAGCTCTTAGCTTAAAAGGCAATTCCTAGGAGAGAGAGACACACAGAGAGACAGAGACAAACAGAGAGACAGAGAGAGATGGAGACAGAGAGAGGTGGAGACAGGGACAGAGACAGAGAAACAGAGAAAGAGACCTTTCCTGCCTCAGAAATCCACATTAGGATTTTCTGTTATTCTCTTGCAATGCATCCTGGGCTTTTCCTTCCAGCCAGCCATCCCAGATTGTTATCTGAGAGTCTTGTACGACCACATCTTAACCGTCTAACTGTCATGAGAATGGTTACCCATTCCACATACCACTAGATTCCAATTGTCTTGTTCTGGCTTCAATAACTGTGTGTCAGTTTTAATCAACCATCTCATCCATTCACTAATCAATAAACCAATAGTCAACGAGTACTACCTCAACATTAGATTCTGCATTGTGATTTGGAAGTAAGAATGATTTGTTTTGTTTTGTTTTGTTTTGTTTTGTTTTGTTTTGTTTTGTTTTTTGAGACAGGGTTTCTCTGTGTAGCCCTGGCAGTCCTGGAACTCACTCTGTAGACCAGGCTGGCCTCGAACTCAGAAATCCACCTCCCTCTGCCTCCCAAATGCTGGGATTAAAGGCGTGTGCCACCACCGCCTGGCAAGAATGAACTTTATGTTTGGGTTTCATTTTTAAATTTTGCCTTAGGCGGATTTCTGAGTTTTATAAACCATAGTTTACAAAACTATAGTTTTATAAACAGGTGCATCTATAAATCAAAAGAAAAATTAGTGGTGAGAAGTATGAATCAGTTGGAAAGACGGCCACATTGGAAAGATGAGTCAGGCATCTGGGACATCCTCACATGCTGACATGAACTTAAGGCTTACAGAGAGGAAGAACTGGAGCAAGGGATGAGCACTGTGCTGAAGTCAGCAGTGTGGCTCAAGAAGTGTCACTCCTGTGACTATGGCACTCCAGGAGGCAGCTCTGTGCCCTGAGATGACTGTTCCTGTTTGGAGAGACAGTCTCTATTACTATCATGAGGATGTTGCCTCACTGGGTAGAACAGTCTTATCATGTGCTGCTGTGTCTGAGCTCAGTGTTCCTGGAATCCATGATGACTTATAGTTTAGGCAATGCCTTCTTTCCAAGGATCCAGCACAGGATGTTGTCAACACCATCAGTGAACTACTTTAGTCACACTTATCTTGACCTCTTCAGTCTTGAGGCAGGTTGAGAAAGAGAAGGCCAGTTTGGAGCTAAACAATCTTATATCACTAGTGTGTTGACAGATGCTCCCTAATTTATTATTAAATTATTAATTTATAAATATAATTATATTATTATATAATTATTATATAATTAATAATAATTAAATTATTAACACGTCAGCATGCAAAATCGAGTGGAAATCTAATCCAAGGTTCTAAGACAGAAGAGCCAGATGCAAAACGGGACAGAGATTCCAAGATTTATCTTGCTTTTAATTACCCATCAGATAGCTGCAGGTCCAAGTGGAGAATACAAGTTTTACCCACAAGAGCACCCCTGACATAAGCACTTAACAAAGATGTTTACAATGCTGAGTATTAGACTTAATGATTATATTACACTTAGTGATTATATAGTATTTAATGTAAAATCTGTGATATGTGATTATATAATATATGATGTATGATATATATGCTACATGATAGATAATACATAACATATTACATAGTGTATGGTATAATATATGATATATATTACATAATATATAATATACAATATACAATATATGATATATTATATATGGCATATAATATGTAATATATAATATATAATTTAATGTGTAATATGTAATATATAATGTATAATATATAATAAATATATATTATTTCTAATCTCACACTTGCCCTACCAGAAGAGGGAAGGGAGGAAGAGGGAGAGAATCAATCAATAAGTGTGGAAACTCATTTGGAAAGGTTTAATAACCTTTATAGCCAAATGAGTCAGTAATGTTAAGCCAGGGAGCTAACTTTGGAGCCTCAGAATTGACATACCATCTTCAACTCCCATGGAACCAGACCACTGACAAGTTCCTTAACCCTTGTGACCTGAGCGTATGTTCCTCATCAAGCCTACTAAAGTTTGAGGGAGCATTAAACAACACTATGCAGGAAATGTCTAGCCAATGCAGGGAATGTCTAACCAACACAGGGAAAAGCAAAACCCTATCTTCTCCTTCTTAGGGACCTCAGCTTGGCTCCGAATGATGAGAATAGATTACTGGGGAAAGAGTGGGCATGTCTATTAAATGCCGAGTGTTGAGTGATGCAGAGCCTTGTGA